GGGGGGGAGGGATGGGAACCCCCCATAAAGGTTGGATGGTATAAGTATCAAAGTGCACATATTCTGTATTGCGAGAATGATTAGCGTTACGCGTGACATCGCACTGAGATCAATACTCGTTGTTCTACCACCAAGAGGTGCAGGTAGTGGTAAAGAACGAGTAAAAAACTATTTCTCCACACTTTTTTAGCAGTCAGCGACGGCATAGAATGACTCGTCCCCTGGAGTATGGCAAGTTGTATCTCGCCCCAAATTTCAAGTGGGCTTTCAACCCATTATTTCACCACAACACGACACGATGTCGAAACGATGTCGTATCGATATTTCATTTCTCACTGGGTAGTCGGGTCTGATTCAGCTGACTCTGGCCGCCACAATCAGGGACCTCAAACGGTGCCAGCAGCCAGCATCCACCAGGCGGCAGTTACAAGGGTCAAAACTTACTTAAACGACCTTAAAATATAGCTGGTGTGTTGGGTATAATCTTGAGTGCAAGTTACGACTAAAAACGGCATGGCGAGCATACTAGGTGCACACGTACGAGAAAGTATAAAATAGATGACAGCAGGGAATACTTACGAGATTGTTTATTTATTATGCTAACATTTATATTTGGCAGTGATCTTTTTCTTAAACTAGACACTTATTGGCTGATTTTGGAAAACAAGATCGTTTTGGTACTTCCCCCTCTCTTATGTCTAGAATTCAGTCTGTTCAACTCGAGCGGTCGGTCATGCTCTGGCGTCCACCTGACTCCACGCATTCTAAATGTCCACACGTCCTGTGCCAGGTACTTTCACGAAAAAATACGCAAAAATTAAACTAATAATTTGAGGACACATTCAAAAGGCACATTTGAACTTGCAGTTTTACCTACGCATTGTTACAGAAAAGTCACAAAATTATTGAGTGTTTGTTACTTAAAGCACACAGGACCAACATGGAAACCGAACGCTTGATGTGGGGATCCGTAATCTACAGGATAAAAGTCCACAATTGGGAGATGAGTCATTTTCTTCGTCACTACTTGGAAGACAGTCTCACTTTTGGCCTTCCGGCTCTGAAACATTAAAAGAAAGTGTTGAATAAGTAGTCGGATATTTAAACAGACGCAATACAGAAAAAATACACACTAAATCCCTCGCTAAATCCTTATGCATTGTGTTGTGCATAAACATGCAGAATTTTATACAGCCATAATATAAGGCACAATTTTATGCCTAAATATGTGCAGTTGGTGCATAATTATCCATAAAATTTGGCCATACTTACGTCTGTACAAAATTCTGCATGTTTATGCACAATTAAATGCTCAAGGGTTGAGTATGTAAATAACAGGGACCGAAAGATAGAGTAGCAGTCGCCCACCTTGCAGCCGTCGTGCAGCACAGCGGGACGATCAGGGCCGGTGTCGTTGGCGAGGAAGACGTGTTCGTCGTCCCCGAGGAGCCTGAGGGCGCTGTCGAGGCTCTGGGCCTTCTTGTCCTTCTCGGGCAGCCAGGCCGCCGAGTTGATGCACGTGTAGGTGAAGTTCTGGCGCGCGCGCTCTGACAGCAGGCGCAGGAACGTCGTCTGCACCACGCCGACCGTCTCGTAGGTGATCTGAGGGCAGCAGGCGAGGCGAGGCGGTGAGACGTCGGATGAGGAAGTGTCCCCGGGACGTGTGGATGGTGGACTCACCCTGAAGCCGCCCCGGAGGTTGGAGTACCAGTCGTTCTTGTCTCCCTCCCTCCTCCAGGGAATGTTGGGCATCTCTCTCGAGTGGACGTCCGGGAACACGCACGTCTCCCCGCCGGCGGTCATGTTGCAGTACACGGACACGGCGTCGTCGTCCATGCCGAGGTTGGGGTCGATCCAGTACCAGCCTGCAAGGATAAGAGATGCGTCAACTCAAACATGGTGTAGGGCCCCGTATTGAGATGTCGACGCAGTTGGGGGAGCGCATAGCTACCGTCCTCGAAGGTGGGATGCCCGTAGTGGAGGTCCCTGCACGTCCTGGCCGGGTTCTCCTTGGAGCCGACGGGTTTCCGAAGCCGATCCAGGTCTTGCCGCATTGAGTAGATGGACGAGTACATGTCGATGAACTTGGGCCCGATGTCCACCGACTTGGGATCCTCCAAGACGTCAGCGTCCCTGGTGGCAGGCATCAGTGCCTCCTTAGTCATGGCGGGGGGCGTTACAGGGTTAAAGAAACAACAGGAAAAATATGGAGTCGGTACGGTTCGGTAATGAAGGTAAATTTGCCAACTGGGCAAACACCTGACATCATAAACTATAAGCCGTGCGCGCTGGTCTCTTACTTGCCGGCCTCCCGCTTCTTGCGGGTGTCCGCTTTCACGTTGTTCTCCCGCTGGAACAGCAGTTCTGGCGGAACGAGCGGCGGCTCTCCAGGAGGGCCGGGGGGTCCCGGGGGACCAGCGGGGCCCGTCTCGCCCTTGAGCCCAGCCACCCCCGAGGAGCCCTTGGGCCCCATGGGTCCCTCCAGGCCCGGGAGCCCGGGGGGCCCGTCGCTGCCCTTCGGTCCCAGCGGCCCGACAGGACCCTGTGGAAAGCAAAGCCGTCATGTTAACGCTGCCGCTCGCTATGCTGTAGAGAGCGCCCGTCTCTGTCGGCGACTTACCTGGTTGCCCCGTGGGCCCTCTGGGCCAGGAGGACCCGGCTTGCCTCTGTCGCCCTTGTCGCCGGCCTCGCCCTTGAGTCCCGAGGCGCCCATCTCCCCGCGGTGGCCCTTGGGTCCCCGCCGGCCGCGGTCGCCCTTGGGGCCGCGCGGACCGTCGGCGCCCACCTTGCCCGGGGCGCCCTCCGCGCCCGGCTTGCCCGACGCACCCGGCTCGCCCGCGGCCCCCGGGGAGCCCCTCGCCCCCGGCGAGCCCTGGGTGCCGGGCTCCCCCTGCTGCCCCATGGGGCCCTGCAGGCCGGGAGCCCCGAGAGGACCGCGATCTCCCTTCTCCCCCGGAGCGCCGGGGCCACCCTGCAGCCCCGCGGCACCCTCCGGACCCTACAAAAGTAGAAAAGTTGAGCAGAAGTGACCTTGACCAACCCCTCAATATCAGCCTCATGAGCGCCAATCAATGGTTGTGCACAGTGACTCTGGGTGCTTACCGCCTTGCCAGGAGGCCCGGTGAGTCCCAGCTTCCCCGGCGGCCCCGCCTCCCCGGGCGGGCCCGGGTCTCCCGCCTTGCCGTCGGCGCCGTCCTGACCGGTGTCCCCCTTGGGCCCCTGCAAGCCGGCCTCTCCCGGAGGCCCCGGGAAGCCTGGCGGCCCCGCGTTGCCCTTGGCGCCTTCGGGCCCGGGGAGGCCCCGGGTACCCGGCGGGCCCTGGACCCCAGCCTTGCCCTCCTCGCCCTTGGGGCCCAGCGCCCCACGCTCGCCCTGCAACACACAAGAGATCAGGCACAGGGACGCAACCTATATGCATCTAACCCAACGGAGCTTTTGCAGGCTTTCAGATAGCGTCCAGTTATAAACAAACTGTCTTCTTGTCAGCCAGAGCGGCTCCGAAGGCGGAAACCTTCACACCGTTAACCACAGGTCAAATAGCCACTCACGTGCTTCCCGTCGGCACCCGGTGGTCCTGGAGGTCCCGGAGTCCCGGGCTCGCCCTTGGCTCCCTGGAGACCCTCGGCGCCCTGCGGTCCGGGAGGGCCTTCTGGGCCCTTGGTGCCTCGGTGTCCCGCTTCTCCAGGAGGCCCGGCCGGTCCCGGAGGACCTGTGCATAAACGTTTACACCCACGCCGTGTGAGGAGGAAATCCAGCAAAAACAGCAGTTTTCAGTTCAAGCAGAAGCCTCATTTTTCCCCTCCCCAGATTCAAAATGACATAGCAGAATGGCATTAATCGCCAGGCGTTCTTGCGGGGGCGTCATCGCGGTAGCGGGGGCGGGGGGTGGAGCCGCCCCCAGGCCAGGATTTATGCACGAGCGGCCCCCGGCCCCCGCACAGCCCGGCAGCGGCGTGCAGCGGCGTGTGGAGGCTTGTGGGAGTGTGAGAGAGACAGCTGCAGCTCGCCCACGACCGTGCCCACGCCCCTTCAGTAGCTTTACAAACTTGGCAAGCGGGCGGCTGCTGACATCGAAAAAGTGAGAAACTAATTCGCGCCCCCTGAAAAGTAGTGTGTGACAAAGAAACCACGCACGGACAAACTGCTGGCCAAACACTTTCATTAGCATGGGTGGTGCGTTCTATTTTTATCAGGATATTATGTTGCATATTTGCCAAGCTGAGTGGCTTCAACATATTCATTAAAGTAGGTGGCGCAAGTGCAGTCCGCGCGCCGCTGGCGACGGCGTGGGCGGGACAGGCCGGGCTGACGGGCGGCCTTTTGTTGCAGTGCGAGGCATTCAATGGGGGAGATGAAGAAAACAAGACGAGCAAACGAAGCAGAAGGAACGAAAAGAAAAAGAGGGCCAAAAGAAAGAGTAGAAATAAAAGGAGATAAAAAACGTTACCTTTGGATCCGAGGTCCCCCATCTCGCCCTTGACACCCGGCGGGCCGGGCATTCCTTGCGGGCCCGGCGCCCCGGGCGCGCCCGCCACCCCCGTGGGGCCGTCCTCCCCCTTGGGGCCCTGGCGCCCCGTCTCCCCCGGCGGCCCCTTCTCCCCCGGCGGCCCCAGCGGGCCCGGCTCGCCGCGCAGGCCCTGGGGACCCGCGGGACCCACCCCACCCTGGAACACACATACACACACACGCAAGCTCAGCCGAGTGGCCGGAAAGGCGAAGGGGGAATCTATTCCTGAACGGAGCGGGGAATCTGCAAGAAGAGAGCCGGCTTCGGATGTGCGACAGAGAGACGGACTGAGTGCGACTGAGATGGACCACGCCACTCGCAAAACTGTCTTACCTCTCTGTGTCGGTTGTCGGTGTCAGGTGTCTGTGTCTGTGCGAGGGGTCCCCCACTTCCAAAACAGGTGTACAACGAGTTGGCGAGTTAGGCACGAGTTGGGATCAATTTTTGGAGAGTCTTGCGCTATATTTCGCAAATTTAGCGCGAGTTTTTGCAAATTTTCGCGAGTTTGTGCGAGTTCTCGCGAGTTTGACGCGAGTTCGACGCGAGTTCGACGCGAGTTGGGCGCGAGCAAGTGTACAACAAGTTGGCTGGTGGGGGACCCCTCGTGTCTGTGTCTCTCTCGCTCCCGCCTCAATGCAAGTGCAAGAGGCCGCCTCTCTCTCCCTCACCTCTCGGCTCGGCCAGGTGCGGCCGCCTGCGGAGGCGAGGGTAGGCCGGCCGCCCAACAGCCGCGCCCGCCCGCGGCCTACCCGCCGCTCGTCGGGCGGCCGGCCGGGCCGTCCGAGCTGAGTGCGCGCCGCCCCTGCGGCCCCCTCATTGGAACACAGACAATGGGCGCGGCGCGGCGATGGGGTCTCCATCACGCCCAGCAGCCGCACATTTGCATAATACATTCCGCCGGTCGCGTCGATCCGAACTGTCGCGCCGGTAACTCCGAAGGGGAGGGGGCGTGGACACGCGCGGGCCGCCCGCCGCCCCCGACTACCTCCGACCATCCACTCACCGTCTCGCCCCGGGCTCCCTTGAAGCCCTTCTCGCCCGGCGGGCCCGCGTCGCCCTTGTCGCCGTCCTCGCCGGGGGTGCCGATGGGCCCCGGGGGGCCCGGGAGCCCCCTGACGCCGGGCAGTCCGTCGCGGCCGGTGGCACCGGGCAGGCCGGCCTCGCCCTGCGGAAGGAGACGAATGCAAAAAGTCAATTTCAAATAATTCACTCACCTGCATGTGTGCGCTGGGAACCGGCTCACAAACTTTTCCTTTGGAGTTAGTTGCTTCTGCGACAACTCACCCTCTCACCCTTGTGGCCTCCCGGGCCCGGGGACCCCGGTGGGCCCTTCCTGCCCTCGGGCCCTTGAGGGCCGTCCTTGCCCGGCTCGCCCTGCTGGCCCTTGTCGCCGGACGGGCCAGGGGGGCCCAGGGGCCCCGCCTCCCCCTTCAGCCCCGGCATCCCCTGCAACAGGAGCTTCGAGTCAGCAACAGCAGCAGCATAAGCAGTAGAAACAGCCACTCCGGGAGCCTAATGCCATTGCCCATACCGGTAGTCCTTGCAGCCCCCTCTCGCCGGGGAAGCCAGGCAGCCCCGTCCCCCCCGGCGGGCCCGTCTTGCCGGCTGGTCCCGGGGGTCCGGGGGCCCCTTCCTTGCCGCTCTCCCCAGGCTGGCCAGGCTCTCCGGGAAGCCCCGGGTGTCCAGGGGTCCCGGGCTCTCCGACCGGCCCGGGCTCACCGCTGGGACCGGCCGGCCCGACCACTCCGGGGGCACCAGCCGAGCCGGGCGGTCCCGCCTCGCCCTGGAAAACACAGAGTCAGTCATTCGCAAGGAAAACAGCTGGGGAAATGCATAGTGGCGGCTGAATACTCACGGGGGGCCCTCTCTCGCCAGGGTGTCCCGGCTGGCCGTCCTTGCCCGCCGCACCCGCGGGGCCCTGGGGGCCCAGGAAGCCGCGGGGGCCCTCTGCGCCCTGGGGGCCGCGCTCGCCCTGGGGGCCTGGCGGCCCTGGCTGACCCGTGTCTCCCTGCAAGAAGAAGGTGCTCGAGTTGCAACGTCCTGGTCCTGGTGGCGGTTCTTGGTGACGAATGACGAATGTGGGCATTCTCATAGGTCATTCGGGTTATTCACATTATTGTTCACGCGGTGGACACAGAACAGAGTCAGATCTTGCTTTATGCTCTTTACCTAATCCTGTATATCTTGACATTGCCTTTGCCTGACTATAAAATTGTATATGTATTTACTTTTTTAAATAAACTGAACTGAACTGAACTGAACTGAGTCCGCGCCCCATTCCGGATAGACCGCGTGCGGGTTGCATACTCGCTCCAGGCCATGTCACCTTACGGATGACGGGAGTAGGCAAACCCTCAACTTTGGTGCGCATTCTAAGAGACACCGGGTTCAAATAACGTTTTCTTTTGCAGTCTGGATTAGATACCGGCCATTAAAGAAAACACAATTACTACTGGCGTTCCGAACAGGCCAACCTATTTATGGTTCCCCATAAAATGTCTGTCACCACAATTGTGATGTCTGCACATTTTTTTCATTTTTTTTTTCCACTCATTTGACTAGAGTTCTAACTGAAACTCTTAGTCATCATCATTTCCCCCTAATGATTTTGCAGGTGACACTTGGGCGTGATGATAGACACAATGCCGCCCACGCGTGACAGTGCAGGCAGCTCGCTTTTGACTCCTCGTTGTCGTCCGCAGCGCGAGTCACCCAATCACAGCAGCTGTCACCGACTACTTCAATTTTTTATTTTTGTTGTCCCAGACACGGTTCTGAAGCCGTGTTCTCTTTTTTTATTATTTCGTTCAGCGTACATGTGTTTGGCTGAGAGCGTACCTCCCCACTGGCCTAGCCGGAGAATTGTGCGCTCAGAGCGTATGAATACGAAAGAACGAGAAAGGGGAGGAGAGAGAGAGAGTGAGATGTCGGAGTGGCAACTCTCTCTCCCTCTGCCTCTCTCTCTGTCTCCCTGTCTGTCTGTCTCTCTCACTCACGCACTAAAGCGCCGCTCCTACCTTGGGGCCCGGTGTGCCGTCGCCACCCCGCCTGCCGCGCGCGCCCCTGTAGCCCTGCAATATGTAAGAGATTAGCAAGAATAAGGCGGCAAACCAAAAGCCAAACACAACCGGCACACAGCCGCGCCGCCGCACAACGGCGCGGGTATTTGCATACGCACCCGGGGCCCCGCCTCGCCGCGCTCCCCTGCCGCGCCGGTGTTGCCCTGAAAAAGCCAAGGATGACGTCTGTTAGTCGCGCCCCCTCTCTCTCTCACTCACCGTGCGGAAACGACGTCATGAAGGCGTGGCGGCTCACAGCGTCTCGCCCCCGCACGGCCCGGCCATACTCACCCGCTCGCCCTTGTCGCCCGCCTGGCCCGCCCGGCCCTCCGCGCCTTTGTCGCCCTTCTCTCCCGGCGGGCCCGGGTACCCGGGGGTGCCCGGCATGCCCTGCTTGCCCTTCTCGCCAGGCGGCCCGGACGGGCCCGTCTCGCCGCGCGGTCCGTCGAAACCCTGCGCACGGGAGAAACAAGAGAAACGTAGGCCGCGTCAGCGAAGAGTAGCTTAGTCGGAGAAAGCTCCGCGCGGGGCAGAGCCCCTCAGGCAGAGCCGGCAGGGCGCACTCACCTTGGGCCCCTCGGGGCCCTCCAGCCCCGCCGCGCCGATGGGTCCCGTGGGCCCGCGCTCGCCCTTGGGGCCGAAGTCGCCCTTCTCGCCGTCCAGGCCGCGGTCTCCCTTGTCGCCCTTGTCGCCGGCCGCGCCGCGCTTGCCCTCGTCGCCCTTGACGCCGCGCGAGCCCGGGAAGCCGACGGGGCCCTGCGCGCCGGGCGGTCCCTGGTCGCCCTTGGTGCCCGGCAGCCCCGGGTTGCCCGGGTGCCCCGGCGCGCCGTCCGCGCCCGGCAGCCCCGGGATGCCCGACTTGCCCTGGGGGCCCTGCGAAGAGGAAACACACGAATCGTCAATAACATCCTCGCTAACAGATCCTGGCCTCCTCACGCTGGCTGACATACGCAGAGATACGCACCGGAAGTCCTGGTGGCCCCAGCTGGCCCTGCGGCCCGGGCGGCCCGACGGGGCCCGCGTTGCCGGTCTGCCCCGGGCCGCCTGGCTGCCCCGGCGGGCCCGTCGCGCCCTTGGGGCCCGGGCCGCCCTCCGTGCCGGGGATCCCGGGCGGCCCGGGCATTCCAGGGAAGCCCCTGGGTCCGGCGAACCCACGCGGCCCCTGTGGAAGGAAGCGGAGCCGTGTTGGCGGGTCATGTTGGTCGGTAGCGAGGCCGTGCTTGGGCTGTATTTGAACTCACCAGCTCGCCCGGCAGCCCCGGCAGCCCTGGCGGACCGTCCTCGCCCTGGATGCCGTCGTGCCCGCGGAGACCCTGTTCGCCGGGGTTGCCCGTCGAACCGCGCTCGCCCTTTTCTCCGGGGAACCCTGCAGATCGAAAAGTACGCGTGGCCTCTGGCGTATTAGCAACTGAGTCTGTGATGTGACCGTGGGCGGGGGCGGCAGTGGGGGCTGAGAGGGAGGGGCGGGAGAGAAGGAAGGGGGAGGGAGAAGAGAGGGTGCGCGAAAGACAACGGGCAATGTGTGCGGACCCCAGTGGTAGTGGTCCTCCCGCTGAGAGCCGGTTGTAGAGCTCTTGTTGGGCCTGCCTGCTCCCCCTGCACCCTGACTTGTTGGGCTGGACTCCCCACCCCCACCTCGATCTTTCTCTCCTTCGCTCTCACCCCTCACTCCATTCTCTCGCTCTCTCTTTTCCCGCTACGGGCCGATAGCTCTCCTGGGGTTTCGGCCGAGTGCCTGCTGGGGAGGGGGAGGGTGAGTGTGGGAGAGCGAGGGTCGAGGGAGGGGTGCGGGGTGGAGTCAGAAGGGGTGCGTGGCGGAAAGCCGGGTCGACGGCGCCAGGGTCGGGGTTGCGGTCTGAACGTCCAAGGATGCGTTTGGAACAAGTTGCAGAAAACTTGTGAGCACCCCGTTCTACTTGGTGGGGCGAAAGAGCAAGTGTGAGCGAAAGAGAGAAGGGGCGAGTGAGTGAGTTAGTGAGTTAGTGAGTGAGTGAGTGAGATAGTGAGATAGTGAGTGAGTGAGTGAGTGAGTGAGTGAGTGAGTGAGTGAGTGAGTGAGTGAGTGAGTGAGTGAGTGAGTGAGTGAGTGAGTGAGTGAGTG